TTTCCTGCCCGATAACATTCGTTACAAGACGAGACCGAGATACATACCCAACGCACCTCGTATTCTGATCGTAACAACCGCTGCGAGCCGTATCGTGTATTCGCGAACAAACCAAAGTGTGCTCGGAATTTCGCTGATAGCGATAGCAGGGACTATGGAAAAACGTGGCTGGTGCATAGTGGTCGCGATAAGCGACGATGCTCTCGTTAGCCCCGATTCTTCCTGCGAAATTACGTCGTTGACCGAGAAATTATGGAAAGCCGATTAATTTCATAAATATTATTCTTTGCTCGCCAGCAGCCAGCGTCCATCCAGCGCGAAATCGAGCTTTATGGCCGACAGTCGATTCCGCGACGTCGGGGTCCTCCGGGAGACGGCCATATCCGTTGTTAGGGGTGGCGAGTTTCGCGGAACGAGTTTCTCTTCAAGGGCAATCGCTTTCTCCTTTCCCTGCCGGATAACGGTATAATTTTTCCCCCATCGCGATCCAAATGCGGGACCAGATTGTTTCTGGCCACGGCCGGGAAATAATTAGCGAAAATTACCAACCCCTAATGGCGGCGTAATGGCCAATAAATATGAAAGCGGGCTCGGGGTAACCCGATGGCGGTACGGGAAATTCAGCCGCGTTCCGCTCTTCGTATCGCGCGATTATCGTTTCGTTTTTTCCGAGATTATCGATTTCTTATAGTTTGGACAGGTGGCCAACCGGGTCATTAAAAATGCGTGGCGTCCCGCGCGCTGCCGCTGTGCGAGAGCTCGTTAAAGCGAGTGATTTACGCCCCGGACACCTTCCTTCACAGGCGAGTTTGATAAGGTCTGGGGTGAAGTGCACATTCGAGTTATGTATTCGCGCTCGGAACAGTGTACCCGTGACTTGACAAGCGTTCGTGACTCCTTGTCACCGCTCGAATATATTTCCTCTTCGCGGCCACGTGTAGGAAGAGTCGTCGAATGATTTTTGTTCTTGATGGATCGCGAGCCCTGGTCACTAATCTCTCTGCATTTCCCGAATACATCGTGCATTTAGCATGCATCGTTTTCGCTTCGTAATTTTATTATGCGCTCTCTTCCATGCGTTTTAAGTCCTCTTCGTTAATTTTAAGCTATTTAAGTCATTCGGATATTTAAAATTAATCTTTACCCTGTTTTCTCTGGTTGATAAATTTTTAAAAGCAGCTTCTCGTAATATATCGAGTGTATATAATACATCGGACGAAGCTCGCGTCTTTGCGCCAGGAACAACGGGAAAATTTTGGAAAATCGGGGCTCGGGGTAGGAAATGTGCTGTCGGTACGAAGGGAAGAGTGGGAGATTTGTGCGTCGTTAATAAAACAAGCGGCGAAACTGCACCTTTGCTGTCTAGGCGGGGATTTCTTTGAGGAGATTTCGGCCGGAGCCGCGTCCATCGGACTGCTTTGCAATTTAGAGAAGGTTTGAGCGTAGTGATTTTCATACGGCTGCCTCGAGTAATTTGACGGGAGGCTTTGAGATGGCTGGACTGTTCAAAGAACCGCTTCACTCTCGGAGACCCGGGCGAAGATGCGGAAAGACACGCGAGTATGTGTGGCTGCGGCTTGGAAAGCGCTGTGCGCCATGCTGGTAGGCTCGTCACAGCCTAGGGGCGGGACAGGGAGACGGCAGACGGCTCGTTGAATCCGGAATATGCATATGCAAATTATTTTTCATCCACGAGTCGATCCTCCACTCGAGTGTTTTCAGCAAACACTCGCGCGACTAAAGCCGACGGCCGGGTTGCGTCTTTGGATTAACTTTCTTTTTCCCTTTTCCACCGGCCCCTTTCTCTCCTCCCGGTTCTTCGCGCATTAATTGGATCGCGATGCAACGAAATTGAAGGGAAAAACAGCGTATGTATATCTCGGAGCGGTGCTTGCACGCGCAGGATGGCTCGGCCGGCTACGGTGTATCGTTGCGAGCGTTTATCGATTCCAACTGCGAGTAGCTTGGTAATCGAATCGAGCGATTGTTCGCGGAGTAACGGCTGAGAAAGGAGAAACGACGGGGAAAAAATAATAAAGGGGCAAAGAAATTAAGAGCACTCCGGCAGAAGCATCGTTGTTCGTTATAAAAATCATCTTTATGCGGATGTCGCAGCTCGTGCTGTAACAATGCTTAACACGGCAAACATCGGGATGAAATGTGCCGTCTCATAAATAGCCGGCGGAATTTGAAGGAACGTAGTCGCGGGGAATCCTAGAATTAATAGTTTCGCGAACGGGCTTCCTGTCGCTTCTCGAAATACGATATCGGATTTTCCGTCGCGAAATAAGCATCCACGAGTACACTTCCGCGTCGATGCGCGACGCGTCCCGACACCGAACCGGCTCGCGAATTTCCCTTTATTTATTGTTTCCAGCATTTTGTTCCGTTACTTCGCGAACAGAGAAGGCAATCCTCTTTTCTCCGCCACTGTGCCTCGCAAACGGCCGCGAGGGTAAATTGTGGCGGAGCCTAAACCTTTGGGGCTAGCTCCGTCCGACGGTGTTAAGTAAAGTGGCCTTCCAGTGCACGCGATAATGCCCCCACCCAGTCTTAACGTCGACTTTCCTGTCATCATCGTCCTGCTTTTTACTAGCAAGATGACACGTTTAATCTTTCCCGCGAAACCAATCTCAACGGAGATTTTTCGTTCCCATGGCGTCGCTTTAATCACCGCGATCGTTCACCTATGAGCAAAATCCGTCTTTCTTCTCCTCGAGCAGGATTCACGACGGCTCTGTGGCTCGAAAAGGCGTTAAAAACACTTTACGCGTCGCTGGGAAAGTTTAATGTACAATGCTGGATAATCGACGCCATTTTGAATTCCAATCTTAAATAGAATGTCGTTCGATACGGTACACGTAGTAAGAAGAAAATTGCAAGATTTAATCGGTGAAGGTGGAAAATAATACGATATATACGACGTTTACGTTACGCTTGTCGGAGATGTGGACCGCGGTGGCGCTAGTGAGTTAAGTGGAGAATCGTCTTAAGGCTGCCTTAAAATGTTTGCTCGCGAAGGGATTTAAAAGACTCGGTTCTTCGTATGCAAACGGAATTTTCCTATTGCCGCGTTTATTTGCTAATTACGCACTAATTGACCGTCGTTTCTTCGGCTCGTTGGAACACCGGCTCTCGCGTTATGGCGGTGCGCGTATCGACGCTTAATTGTGCACCGATTGAGCGTATTTATCGATGCGACCAAAATGACCACGAATGGCTCTCGGAGATCCGGATCAAGCCTGCAATTCTCTTTCATAAGAAGCGAAATAATACGACATCGCCTCCCATTGTTTTTGAGATCCTTGATAAATTCACAGAAAGAAACAGAGGTTGGAACGGTTTCGGAAATAATCTTAAAATTCGAGAAAAAGTTTGAAAATTTATAACAGATAGGAAAAAGGAAAAAGATAAAATCTTTTGAATAGATTTATAAAGGCAAAATGTACCACTATTTACCACTATAATGGTAAAAATGATTCTTCGCTATATTCTGCAGTTTTTGAAGTATCAATTCTTCATTGCTTCTAACTCGATGCTCTGTTATTTTTATATCGCTTTCACGTCCGTTCTGTACCATTGCTATGTCAGTTTTATTTTGATTCCACGTCGATGCTATATCGGTTTTAGGTGTGGTATGAAAAATTATACATTTCGCGTCGCTAAAATTTAAGGGAAGATTGCGCACCCGTCGCAATTTCGCAATCCCAAGAATGATTTGAGAATCGATTTTTCGTAAATTGCTACATCGAAGTTCGATATGTTGGCATGCTCGGTATCCCAGAGTCGTTGGAGAAAATAACGCTTCCAGGGAACAGTTTCTACAAATCGGAATCGATGTTACAACAGTTTTCAACCCCCGGCAAGAAAGTCGCGGGAATAAAAATAATGGCGCCGTTCCCGTGGCTCGGCTAACGAACCGACCCGATAATTGCTCGCGTTCTTTCCTTCCTTTAATTCTCTTTATTCAATCTACCTGTTCTCTGCCTCTACATTGATTAGTCCGTTGAATCTGTAAATCGAAATACCGTCCATCACGGAATCCCTCTATTTCCACTCGCGCGAGACCGGCAATTTGAACATGGAGGGTTCGCGAAACGAAGGGGGTAGCTTGCAGTAATATCGCCGAAATTGATGGAAACGCTGATGGAAAATATCTAGCGTTATATAAAAGCTGCAGGAACATTCGCCATTGAAACGTTCACACGGGCCCATTCGAAATTTATCGGTGGAAAGTTAGGCTCCGCGAGTGAAATAAAATGGCGCGAGAGAGGGATGTTTTCAGTATTCGCGGAGTCAGGATGGAAACGAAAGGCTGGAGCGTGACTCGCGAGTGTTTTCCAAGCGTCGCGATATATTAGCCATGGGCGACGAAAGATCCATGGGGATGGGGGCCTCTCCAAAGACACGGTAGAGTTGCTCGAAAGGAAAAGGAAAGGGATATTTTAGCAAATACACGCGGCCTAGATTCTAGGCCAGAGATACGCGTCGCACAGCGAAGAAAATTGAATGTAAATCTAGGTGGCGCGCGTTGAATCGAATCTAAGGGATTAGAGAATTCCAACGGAAGGGAAAACGTTCCACGGACTAGCCATTCATCGTAGACCAGAGCCCCGTTCGATCTGGGCCGGATCCTATAAGTCGGAGAACTTGTTGGATCCTTCGAGGGTGCAAACTATAATTCCCCGTCGTTTATCGACCGTGAGCCGAGACGTTCGTTAATATCGAGGAAATCGCAGAGTTTCGGCTAGCTTTCGCGACGTGACGTGCACGGGAACGTCAAACCGCAGGGCCATTTCATTCTTCTTTGGGAAGCCGATAATCGGCCACCGTCCGAATTGACGCGGACAAAAAGTAGATGCGGTCGGCTTTGTTCTGGCCTGCGGCAACGCCACCGTCCTCTGCCCGATCGTGATTGGTAGTTTGGAAGGGTTGCTGCAGTACAGGGGATTTTTCAAACGTCCAGCCCGCTGACTTTTTGCCACGACCAAACCACCAGGTTAATTTTCCTTGCGTTCGCTTTTCTTTCTACGTCGTCTGCTGTTCCCTCGGGGCCCAGGAACCAGAGGTCCAAGACCCAAAGGGCCAAGACCCAAAGGTCCAAGAACCAGAGGTCCAAGAACAAAAGGTACAAGAATCAGAGGTCCAAGAATCAGAGATCCAAGAACTAGAGATCCAAGACTTAGAGGTTCAACAATCAGAGATCCAAGAACTAGAGACCCAAAAACCAGAGAGATCCAAGACCTAGAAGTCCAAGAATCAGAGATCTAAGATTCAAAGATCCAAGAACCAGAAGTCCACGAACCAGAAGTCTTAGAACAAAAGGTACAAGAATCAGAGATCCAAGACCTAGAGGTCCAACAATCAGAGATCCAAGAACTAGAGACCCAAGAACTAGAGACCCAAAAACCAGAGAGATCCAAGACCTAGAAGTCCAAGAATCAGAGATCTAAGATTCAAAGGTCCAAGAACCAGAGGTCCAAGAACAAAAGGTACAAGAATCAGAGGTCCAAGAATCAGGGATCCAAGGGCCATAGATCCAAGAATCGAAGATCCAAGAACTAGAGGTCCAAGAACCAGAGACCCAAGAACTAGAGGTTCAAGAACCGGAGATCCAAAAACCAGAGAGATCCAAGAATCAGAGATCCAAGAATCAGAGATCCAAGAATCAGAAAGATCCAAGACATAGAAGTCCAAGGATCAGAGATCCAAGAACTAGAGACCCAAAATCCAGAGAGATCCAAGACCTAGAAGTCCAAGAATCAGAGATCTAAGATTCGAAGGTCCAAGAACCAGATGTCCACGAACCAGAGGTCCAAGAATCAGAGATCCAAGAACTAGAAATCCAAAATCTAGGGGTCCAACAATCAGAGATCCAAGAATTAGAGACCCAAGAACTAGAGATCCAAAAACCAGAGAGATCCAAGACCTAGAAGTCCAAAAATCAGAGATGTAAGATTCAAAGGTCCAAGAACCAGAAGTCCACGAACCAGAGGTCCAAGAACAAAAGGTACAAGAATCAGAGGTCCAAGAATCAGGGATCCAAGGGCCATAGATCCAAGAACCAAAAATCCAAGAACCAGAGATCCAAGAAACAGAGACCCAAGAACTAGAGGTTCAAGAACCAGAGATCCAAAAACCAGAGAGATCCAAGAATCAGAGATCCAAGAACCAGAGATCCAAGAACTAGAGACTCAAGAACTAGAGATCTAAAAACCAGAGATCCAAGACCTAGAGTTCCAACAATCAGAGATCCAAAAACTAGAGATCCAAGAACGAGAGGAACTAGAGACTCGCGTCTTAGGAATACTCTCGAGTATCTCCAGGTCTGCAGACGGCCTAGGTTTAGACGGGATGATTTGTCAGTTAGCGGCGAAAGTTTGGAAAGGTCGTGGCTGTGTTCCGCGGATGCAACAGCATCCCAAAAGGGACGATGGCGGTTATGTCACTGCCACTTGTCACGGGATAGAAGTGAAACGTGTATGTGAGAACGATTGCATGTATTTTCCGTGTTTTCTATGTACTTCCGTCATTTCTCGAGTCCGTGCGAGGCTTTTGACACATACCAGGTTTAACTATTGTCCTTTTCATTTCACTGCCTGTCCCTCGCGTTTCTCACAAGGCTCTACTTTCTCTCTCTTCGCTTTCTAAATCATGGACTTTCCCTGTCGTTTCTGCTTTCTTTCAGGAGTCTGTTCTTCCTGTTGCAAGCTCACAGTGTTCCTCTCTCTTTGTGGTCTCTTCCCCCTTGCCATATTTGTCCAATATTTGACGAATAGAAGATCGAAGCTTAGTCAGTTGTCATTTGCTAGTTAATGATCAGAGGTTAAATCAATTATAGCTAGAGTTATTAACAATTGACAATACACTACTGAGTACAGCCATCAACATATTTCTACAGCCATTGTATTAACCAATTCTCTGGTCATCTATATTATATTGCAATTCTAGAATGATCAATGTATTGGTCAGTTATCGCTAAAGATAGACAGTTAATCAGTTAGTCAGTTGAATCTGTCGATTCAGGCTAGTTAACCAAAGGAAAAACGTGTGGTTTAGTTTTAAGAGTTTGATTAAACAGTTCACTGAACATGTTCGTTCATCGATGAGACGTCCAGGTCACTGAATTACAGCCACCCCCCTCAGAATTGTTAAAACTGAGGTCACCATTCTTGCATTCTCAATCCGAGAACATCGCCATAATCAGACAGAGGTGGGAATAGGATCCAAAGTGACTGCTGAGTTCAGTCCAGGTGATCTTCGACTATCTTCAGAGTCCCAATAACTCGTCTAAAGTCCCAATCCGCGTGTGATCTATATGATCCTCGGATAGACCTCTAATTAAAGGTTCCTCCAACGCGCAATCGTAAATACCCGGCGAACTAACCTAGAACTCGAACTCCCTTCAGCTCGAGGCAAAATCTGAATTATTAAATGCGAATATTAAATCCGGCTCGTCGACGCGTTAGTCTCGTAAACCGGTTCAACGGCCAATAAACAGGTTGGAAGATGGCGGGGAGGAAGGCTGAGGGAAAAAGCCATCACAATGGCGGCGCACAAGGACGGAACGCGGAGTCTCGCTGCATATGCGAATTCGAATTCCATCGACATTCTGATAACTCCGCGGCCTTATCGGGCGCGAGCGCGGCCAATAAGTCGAGCGGATCGGTGGCGCGTGTAAAATACTCCGGCACGAGCGGGACAGGGTCGTGCACTGGCTCGGTTGTTCGTTTGGTTCTCGCGTTTTCCACCCCGCTTTCCACGGCCCGCTGCAGCTGCGCGACTTTCCAGCAGTTACGAGCTTGTTTTGACTGTTCCACCTTTGACGCTACGAGAAACTTCGTTCCCCTGCTATAAAACAGATGGAGGTTTATACCGAAAATACGAGCGTGCTCGCGCGACAGCTAATCGGTCGTTGAACGGCGAACCAGTTGGAAATATCGGGAAACGCGAACGCGATGCGTCGACGTGGTTTTGGGATCGGTATGGGGCAAAACGATAGACGAGACTGTGACTTTTAATGTTTTAATGTCATGGGCCAAGGAGACTAACGGTTGGATCTCATATCCAAGCTAGACCTGAAGTGGCTCAAGAATAACATGCTAATATCGGGTACCTCCTTAGGCATAGCTCTTTGGTCCACACCAGGGTCAAGTGCGGGTTGGTTGGACCATGTCAGTTTCATTGGTAGATGAGGAATCTCGCATCCAACACCTGTCAGTATGCCACACAGGCGAGGAATGACACTGAGCTGTGCAATGCACTAAGCAGTTCGGAAACAGACACAGTACTTAATGTGACTTTTAATTGTGTGCTCAATGATCCTTAACACTAGATTTACGGAACCCTCAATTTGACGGAAGGGTTGCTCCAACTATACAATGGTAACAGATTTAGTTAATTTATATTAAGACTGTTAATATAATTTATAATTGTTTTTAAATTAAACTAATCGTTCAAAACAAGGCACGTGGTTTCCTTTACCTGTCAATTTGACAGGTGTCTTTAGAAATAGGTGTACAGATAGCGTCCCTAAATCTAGTGTTAATGGTGAGGGCAGAGTTTTCCCAAGTCGCGCGTCTAATACCTACACACGCATTTTCTCGCAGAAAGTAGAAAGTACAGTAACACCTTTGTAGCGACCATAATTATTATCACTCGATGGATTCCGCCTTCAACGACTTTCCCGTAAGTCCTCGGGAAACTCCCAGTTTCCTATATATATAACTTCCCGTCTTTCCAATAGTATCCCCAGTGTCTAAGGCAAGAGCCTGCTAAGCAAGCCTTACCGATGAGTCCGCTATCAGGCCCGGGACGAAACGCATCCCTTCCTTTTCCTACCGTCCCTTCTAGCTACCTACAACCGAGGATACTTGTGACCAGCTGACTTCAAGCGATGGTGGGGGAGGACCCCCTTATTCGCGAAGTTGGTATAGAGCACAAGCTCGGGGTATGCGCAATACTTGTGACTTTTAATGTTCCTGAATGAGATTAATTCGATATGCGAGTTCAGGTTAATCAGGGTTTACGTTTCTTCTATGAAGAGCAATGGCGGAACTGGGTAGAAATTAATTTACCAGTTGTTTCTTACGCGATTAGTTTGAAGATGGAACGATATTAGAAGATGGAGGATTAAGCTGGAGATTGTATTCACGATTGTTAGATATTACATTTGTACATACCATCGTTATTAGTGTGGTTAGACAATTAGTTTAAAAATGGAATGATATTAGACGATGAAGAATTAAGAAGCTAATTGTATTTGTGATTGTTAGATATTATTATACATTTGTATATATGGAGGTCCCCTCTCCCTCCACGGGGGTTGTTAGATGCCTTGTGTTTCCTGCAGCACTGCCGGTTGGCATTCTGATGGCTGTCTTTCTAAGATAGGTAGTAGGTAGTAGGACTCAAGGAAGAGATGCGTCTCGTATTAGGCCTGCTAGTGGTCTCATTCGTAAGGCTTTCTAGCAGACTCTGCCTTAGACCGGGGCTACTTAGATAGCATAGGAATTTGTATTTATGGGAGTCGAGGATTCACCGAGGACTTGCAAGAAACCTCTAACCACAGTTCTTATACTTATTGACCCGGGAAATGTAGCTTTTGAAGCTGACTCTAACAGCACTAATTATAAATTTATTAATTTCCGCAAGAGTTTAATATTGCATAATTACGATACCAGAAATTACTCGTAAAGTTAGATGTGGTAGATAAGTGAATAAAAAATAGCAATTTCTGTTGCATTCACGAGACACTCCAAATATATAATAGTACGATAATGATCTCACCGGTGTAAAATCAAATTTGAATTACAGTCCTTTCTTTTTATCTCCTTTTTGTGCGATATGTCATTTCGAAATTGCTCGAGAAATACCAAAATCGTAGTTCGTGGCGTTATTTTATCTCGCACGGCACGTGACAGGCGGGAAAAAATCGCTCACGATCTTCGATCCCCGTGAAATTACATTGCCGTTTGTTTCCCCGTGCGAAAAAGTCAATCCGTTGTCGTTTGCATCGATTATCGGGAGTCTCTGAACGATACGCGAACTCGCGGAGTTGGCCGATGATTATTGGTTGCCAATGAAATTTGCGGGAACGTGGACGAATATTAACGAGGTCGGTTATCTCGGTTTTACCATTATATTTCGTAGATTGCGGTAATTGCCGCATTTTTGCTTGCCACCGGCCGCTCCGCGGAGCCGTTAATTACTCGCGCACGGGTGCTAATGATCGTTAATTTAAACAAAAATGAGTTCGCTTCGGCCGCCTATTGTGTGTCCGCTCGAACAGAGAAGTTTAATTGTACCTTCGCCCCGTTTGCTACCGTTAATCCGTGAAAATTGCTCCTTTTTCACCCGGCCAGAGGACGCGCCGGTACCACGAGCAGCTTGAAAAATTCGAACGGAAGTTCGATTCCGGCGAAAATCCTCGCGCTTGTGAAACTCGGGAAACTTGGGAAACTCGGGGAACGAACCCTGCAACGACCTTTACGCTACCCTCGTTCGAATTTTCTCCACGGTGGTTACTCCGGGAATCGAGTTACGGGGCGCGATTAGTCGGCGAATCGGACGAGAGATGGCGGAAGTTACTCGTTACGGGTTGTGGTCTTTAATTACGTATCGTGCAGCGGACTTCGTAATTTCGATCTGCAACGGTAATGCCTTTCTTCGACGACCCGGTCGCGTTAATTATCTAATCAGATTGACGGCCCGTTTCGCGCCGCGAAATCCCAGCGCCGCGTCCCCCGATTTACAACATGGCAACATCTGGTCAGGGGGTTTAGGCCTCGAAACGCGCTCCTGAGCACGCTATCGCTGCTGGCAGTTCCATTTATCCGGATAAGAGAGAAAGACGTGCCCAGTGGGCAGGGATGGGGATGAATCGGATCAGGTTTGGCAGGGGTAATTAGCAGCGAATTCGAGATAATTGCGAGGTAGAATCCAATCAGGGGGAATTCTTGAATATTCCACGTGCAATCCGGCCGCGTCGATCGAGATGGCCGATTATCAATAAAATATTCGCGCGCTCGGTGCGCCGCCTATATGATTGCGGTGACTAATTTCGTGCCGGTTCCATTTGCCACGAGGCCCACCCCGGTGTCACCGATAATTACGCCTATGTTACACGCGTCGATCCGTGGTTTAGGGGCGCGGCGACGTTAACGAGAATTCCACGGCCGCCATCATCCGTCCACCGATACCTTCGCGATCGTTCGAGGCCCGGGTTTAGGGGTTCCAGCCACCCCAACTCTGCCACTCGTTTCCCCCCGGTGTCTTCGTTCTCTCTTTTCTTTCCTCACCTGGTCCGACGAGAACGAGGACCAGGGGCGGAACTGTCGGGCGAAAAACAAGCGACTCGAGATTGCCGGTAATCGACGATTAAACGCGATTCGAAGGGGGCGAGTCGTTCTCGAGACGGAGGGCGTGTACACGCGGGATCGATACCTATACCGACTCTATCTCCGCGACGTAGTCGGATTCCATCCGAATTCTGTTTAAATCGCGTTCGCCTGCAGCCCGGCCAATAATTATTCAATCAGATTCCTAATAAACCGCGCGGGACGGGGGGCGCGGAAGCGGCGAGGCCCTCGGATACGCGGACGGAAGAACACGGAAACATCTCGGAGCACGATGCAATCGAGGATTCCATTTGCTTCGCCCGCCGAGATAGTTGGAAGCGTCGAACGGCGGTGAGATAACGGCGAAATAGAGAGCCGAGGCGAGCAGAGCGCTCGAATATCCGATAGACGAGCGGAACTGCCGGTGTTTATCAATTCGGGATATTCCAGGTTCGTTGTTCTCGCCGCGTTACATCGCGGCGAACCCTCCGCGCCGAAGATGGATCGTCCTGTCGTCCAGTTTCCAAACTTTCCATCCCGACCAACGCCGCTAGCGCCACCAGCGCCACCAGCGCCACTAGCGCCACCACGCCTCGTCCCCGCTTCGATCACGAGGCCCAGGCTCCTCGCGAACCTCCCAACCCGCGAAACAGTTTCTTCCTCCGATAGCAAAAAGCACCCACCAGTCGGAAACTTCGTCGAGACACCCTTTAACTGCACGAGACATTCCGCAAACTTCCCCGACCACCCCTTTGGTTTCTTCCAATTCACCGCGTTTTTCCTGCTCCTTGCCCCCTTCCGGGGCTTCCCGGCCCCCCATAGGCAGAATTTCCTGGTTCTATAGCAGACACGCACGGGGGTCCGAGTGTATCTACCTGTCTGATACAAGGTTTCTCAAAGGGGTGCATATGGTTGCCCCGAAAACACGATATTTTAATTTTTCGGACCACCAGGCAGTGTTCGTTGAAGAATATAAAGGTGTTCCATAATTTTTCTAGCATTTACAGTAATGCGATGATAGTGTTTTAACCCTTTGCACTCGAGGGATGATCTCAGTCACCGTTTGTTTCAATGCTATAACTTAAATAATGGATGATGATAATTATATTAAGAACATCGAAATCAAATTATTCTATTCGTTCGTTTCTCACGCAAATTCACGATTTTCTTTTGTTAGTTTTAGCATAAGGAGTATCAGTGAGCTTATAAAAATGTAAGAAGAGCTTCGAGTTGCATCTTCACAACGAAGAAATTTTCCAGTCCAAAGGGTTAATAGCGACCATATCGAAGTTAAATAAGCCTTTTTAATTTATTATTAAAAATTCTGTATTCAGAATTATGGCTCTGGTCATCTGCTTTTCCTCGAGTCCTTCCTTAACCCTTTGCACTCGAGAGGCATCCTGCAGTCGCCATTTGATAAAATTTCGAAGCTCGATATTCAGAAATATGCCAAATTTTAGATAATGTAACGGTGTGCGAGGTATCAAAATCAAATAATTCTGCGTGTTAATTAGCATACGAATTCTTATTCCTGCTCAGAAAAATATCGCCAGCTTTGTAACAGAAAATTTTTGAACTCCTATCCTTCTTTGGCCAAAAAATCGTCCAGTGGAAAGGGTTAATTTTGTCATCTTTGGGTCGTTCAATGGGTGTAGTCAAGTTTTAATAATAATTGCCATTTTTCCTCTAAGAAGTTAGGTTCGCACGTAGCGATAGTGATTTAAGCACCAGGAATAGGATGAAGTTTTATCGTGTACGATAATCAAGTACTTCGTGGAGATGAGGAAATTGCTGGAAAATGGCCAAAAAATGGCACATGATGTATTATATATACTTTGCCGTACCAGGGACCTATTTTTGCATGCAAAATTTTATAATTTTTCATCTGTAATACAAATTTTGGAACATCCTGTATAATCGTCGTTCCTTCCAGCTTACATTTACGCGATGTTTACTTGCGCGATTTCAGTCGTTCGAAAATGCGAATATCGATGAATATTCGGGAAAAGTGCGTCAAAGCTTTTCACGTTTTCACGAAATATAATGTACATATTTCTATCGAATGATAAAATTAATGTGGAATATAAAAATCCGAATTTTCGATAAATATTGAAAACACGCACATATTACACGCGTAAATATTGGTAACATCGTAATTCTATGATATTGCATATTTAACGTAGTATGTATTTAACACTAGCACCTATCGGCTTGTAATGCGTACCTAAATATAGTATTCACAATTCATATCAATTAATATGATATAATGAAAACAAGAGACCATTGCGAATCGTGATCCTATTGGAACAAAAATCAATATAATTGTTATCAGGAGCAGCTGCAATATTTGCAGTAATTGCGAAAATAAAATGATCGAAACGAGTCATTTTGACTTCCTTTCTTCCATTCTGTTTTAATAGTTAATGTTACTTTTTTGAATTATATCATCCTTTTTTTTAAATTTTTCTATATAATTATTTATTTTCCATATCCCGAGGGTTGATTTCAACACTAAACTTACTATGATCAAATGACCGGTATTGAAATTTTTATTGTTAATAAAAATAAAATTTTTATTATTCAATTTATTTTTATTTTATACTTCTTAGTCACTCGATTGAATTTTTCTTCCAATATACGTGTAATCAATCTTCCAGTGTCACCTGTTACTCCATTTTTCAAGACTCCATTGCTTTTTCATTCACCGGTCATTTCACCACAATAAATTTAGTGTTAAAGTATCAAAAAAATCGACGTAGATTTTTGCATTGTACACTTACGTTTGTGACCCCAATTTTCCCATTTTTCCCATGCTCCAAAAATTCAATTTTCAACGAAAAACCGTGCGCTACGCCAGTGCATAATTTCTCTATTCCACTTTGCGTATCTCTTTTCTCTTTCTGTCACTCGATTTTAATGATCCACGAATCACGTTTCACGCGAGAATTCCGCTTTTTTGGGGGGTCCACGTTGGCAGAGAACTCCGATGTCTTGGGGTCCATGTTGACAGGGATCTCCGCTTTCTTGGGGTCCACGTTGGCAGGGAACTCCGCTTTCTTGGAGTCCACGTTGACAGGGAACTCCGCTTTCTTGGAGTCCACGTTGACAGGGAACTCCGCTTTCTTGGAGTCCACGTTGACAGGAAACTCCGCTTTCTTGGGGTCCACGTTGGCAGCAAAATCCGCAATCTTGGGATCCACGTTATCAGAGAACTCCGCTTTCTTGGGGTCCACGTTGACAGAATACTCCGTTGTCTTGGGATCCATGTTGACAAAGAACTCTGCTGTCTTGGGATCCACGTTAACCGAGAACTCCGCTTTCTTGTGGTCCACGTTGACAGAGAACTCCGCTTTTTTGGAGTCCACGTTGACAGGGAACTCTGCTGTCTTGGGATCCACGTTGACAGAGAACTCCGCTTTCTTCGGGTCCACGTTGACAGAGATCTCCATTGCCTTAGGGTCCACATAGACCAATGGTTCCGCCATTCGCGAAGATTTCGAAAACGGTTAAACCTCCTGCGAATATATTATAATTCGCATGAACCATCGCGGTTGGCTGTCCGAGAGTAAGTTACAAATAACGAGACGAACACGTTTTGAAATTATCGTGCTGCCGGGAGTGGTCAAATCCGGACAGGTCGGCTATTCGAATTTATTATTGATCGACTATCGGGTGTCAGCGTTTGGCCAATATTTGCACGACATCTAGTAAACATTGATTAATCGCTGCTGTACCTGACCGATAATTAAACATTAGTCTCGACCAACGGAGAGCGACGCGGCTAATTATTTTTACAGTGTCCGAATTCGCTTCTGCGCTAGGACATACTGCATCTGCTTACCCTGGGGGTGGCTTGACTAATTGTTAATAGAGTCACACGGAGCCCTGGTTTATCGCGGAAAAATTTACCGTGCAACGAAATCGCAAATTAATCACATCGTTCGAAAATTATTAACACTGATCGAAAAATCATACAGGATTTTAATTTAAACATCCACTCGATTGGCTCATTCTTCGCATCGATATTTGAATCTAGTCGTCATTGGTCCTGATGAATATTTCAAATGTTCCCACTTCTACATACACGTAGAGTATAGTTCTCAAAATAGTTATATAGCGATGGTTCACAATTTGCATAGCTAGCTTCATTCTAGCTATGGAAAAGGATACTGAAAATTGTGGGAGAAATGAAAGCAAACAGGAAAAGGAAAGATATTAATTACTTCTCTAAAGAAGTATACCTGTGCTTCTAATTTCTATCGCTATTATAGTGGTTTAATACTAATTCGCGTTTAATTTGTCAGGAAATTATACTCAACCTAGTCCAGCCACGGGGCTAATTAACTAGCAGACCAGGTATTAGAAAAGCCATTAATATATCCTTGTTATCAGCTTAACTACGCTTTTAATACATAATCAGGTAATTAAATATTCGTCTTACCGGTTGGAAAACATTATAACATTTGGTGCACAAAATTAATTAAAAATCAGACACTGTGCATCTCATCCACCAGTGCTGATCTACTCTCGCTATTCCGATAAAGCATCGAGGACTTGTTTCTTGATTATCGAATAATTATCAATTATTTAACGTTGTGTGCCGAGCACGCAATTCCCTCGACTGGAATTTCGTGGGTGTGTAGAGCCCGCTACTCCAACGCGACAGGGTCGAGGGTGCGGTTTAACCAAACTCGAGCGATCTAGACCAGGTTAGGGTTTCGGAGCGATCGCGAATTGGCGCGTATCGATCGTAAACACCTATAGATAACTAAACAATCATCTAACGGTAGTCTGTTAGAGGTGTGTGCTGGTTCCGACGTTTTTCCACGACAGGGGATGTTTAACCCTTAGTGCGGACGACTCTCTGCCGAAGCGCTTCAGAGGGACTGTGCGTGCTTAGCGCTTACGATCGCTGTAAACGGAATACTTTTCGCTCGTTCGAGCTCTGTTGATTAACTGTTCAAGATGCAACTAACAAGTTATTATTGCAATTCTTTTGCAGCAGGTTAAATAATAAAAGAACGTTATTTTCAAGCATCAATTATCAATTAGAATTGTAGGATATTTTTTGACTTCCCCAGGTATAGTGGCCCCGTTAGCGTCTGGCGGCCAGACGAGCTTGGGGAAGTTGGGGTCAGGCCATGTGAGGTAGCCTCGCTCACCCCCGGTTTTCCCCATTGTAAACCGGGGGTGACGCGTCCGTGGGCACCTCTCGGGAGGGTCCCCGCGTGGGTGACCCTTCGGAGAGCCTAACCTGAAGGAGGAATCCCTTCCACCCTAGAGCGTTACGTGGAGGGAGCTTTCTCCTCCTTCGGGGGAGGCCCTTGCCTTCCAGACGGGCTTAAAAGGGCCCGCTCTGGAAGATAGAGGAGGGTTTTCGAGATAGTCTTTAGAGAGTTGAGGTAGTCCTTGAGAGAGTTGAGACCGAGAGTTGCGATTGCGAGAGTTACGCGTTATTGAGAGTCGAATCGAAAATACAGACTGCAGTGAATCTGAGTATTCCGAGGTACTCTCCAGCGAGTAGAGACTGTGTGACTCTACAGAATCAATAAAATTTACGATATAACTAAACATGAAAATAAGCAACGAAAACTAAACAAAAATTAATAGTTTATTTGTGTATGATAAATTTGTTTATATTGTTAATATTGTTATACGTATACTATATTGGTAATACGTTACTAATGATACTCGGAACAGATATACAAAAGAATAAACCCGTCCTCGCGTCTATTATTTCTTCCATCATTTGTCTTTTTTTATTGACGTTGCTAAGAAACACACATATATTTGTCTCACATGAAGTTACATGTAATACTATAAGATTGAACAACGCATATATGCGTCCACCGTCCTTGCTAGTGACTCCTAGAGTTAACGCGTTAGGGGTTAAACAGACTCGGATCGCTGTCTGCATCATCTAAGGGTGTTTCAGGGCGCCCTGTTGGGGACTGACCAGCTGTCCAAGTGTTCGAGAGTCACAGGACTCTTGTAACAAACGGCTACACCAATTTCCGAACCAATTCCGTAAAGTTCTCGAATAATTATCAGTCATTTGGACTTTTTCCGATCGCGTCGTTGAAACCTGTGCCTTAACGAAGGGGGCCGTGATCGGCGCGAGAAATAAAATTACCCACCGACGGGGAACTTTTCGATAACAATCTCTGTGCGACGTGGCAGACATTAAAGTGTCTCGAAACTCCGAGAGGAAGCCTGTGGAGCTATTGCAGGCGCGACACCGCGTATTATTGAACGCGTCTACGAAGAGTAATGTCTCGCACGAGCTATCGATACGCGTCTTTCTCGCGACTTAAAGGAACCTGGAGTGGACCGCAAAGCCGATTATTCGTGCCATCCATAACCGTCTCAGCTGTCGAAGCCGAGACCGCGCGAATAGCGCGCGATAGACGACTAACCCGTTCTATTCTGCCTACTATTTAATTGCGAGGGTGTCAAGGATGGATAACCGACGTGAGGTGGGTTAGGATCGGAATAAATTTCAGACACGTTTAACTCGAATGTGCATATATAGATATTACTTAAAACGTGTGTTGTAGGAGATCAAAATGCACGAGGTCTTCCAAGTGAAATAAGTGTACTTTGTTCTGACAAGGAACTATATTCAACACGCACACGCGGATTTTGATGAAATTTAGGTGAGGGATAGTTGTCAAAAAAGTATCTTGAATATTTTTAGTACCTTCTTTGACGTTTTCTAATATTTTTAAAAAATTATTGCGAAGAAATAAGCTTATGAAATTAACAGGGTTTATTTCTAGTCAGTAATGTCAGTAATGTGTCAATAGCGTGTTAGTTGTGTCAGACTTAACCCTTTCACTCGAGAGGCGCCATTCAGTCGCCATTTGATAAAATTTCGAAGATCGATATTAATTAATATGTCAAATTTAAGATAATGTGACGATGTGCGAGGTATCAAAATCAAATAATTCTACGTGTCGATTATTATATTAGGTTTTATTTACTGCTCAAAAAATATCACCAGCTTCATAGTAGAAAATCTTCGAATTCTTACCCTTCTTTAGCCAAAAAATCGTCGAGTGCAATGGGTTAATTTGATTTTGCAGATCGATGATAGTTAATATAGCATATTTAAAATTACCCAACGATGCGGGGAATGTAGAAATAAAATAATTCTACGTCTTAATTTGTATACGATTTCTTATTTACCGTTTTAAAAATATCGTCGACTTTATGACAGAAAGTCTTCAAATTACTATTTTTCTGTAGTACATAGTGGTTAATCAGCGAAATCTCGTCTTGTTACTGCCACATTATATTATTATTTATTTAATAAGCAGCATTTCTGTGTGAGTGTTTCTGTCTTTCCAATCTTCTTTGACTCTACAAATATTTCACACTTATATTTTTCTTTCTTTTTGATAACACTAAGGGCCTGTATTAGAGACACCATTAATAACGGATCTTTAAGAAGACTTTTTAGGAGGTCTTCACCTTTCTTAACAAAAATGTAACACATGTAGTCGAAGACTAGAAATAAACCCTGTTAATTTCAAAACACAAGGTTGTTTCTCTGCAACCATTTTTTAAAAATATTAGAAAAGGGAAATACTCGATAGATTTTTTAAAAATTGTTATTTGTGTTATTGTTATATGTGTTATTTAGATTTAAGGGGGTCTCTATCTTCCTTAATAATAAATAGAACACACTAGTCCAAGACTAGAAATAAACTCTTGTTTTCTTGCAACAATTTTTTAAAAATCTATTAAGCATCTCCCTCTTCTAATACTTTTAAAAAATGGTTTTGCAAAGAAACAATCTTGTGCTTTGAAATTAACAGAATTTATTTCTAGTCTTCGTCTACGTGTGTTCCACTTATTGTAAAGAAAGATGGAGACCCTCTTAAATCTAAATAACATATAACAATAACACAAATAACAATTTTTTAAAAATCTATTAAACATCTCCCTTTTCTAATACTTTTAAAAAATGATTTTGCAAAGAAACAACCTTGTGATTTGAAATTAACAGAGTACATTTCCAGTCTTGGACTACATGTATTCCACTTATTGTTAAGAGAGATGGAGACCCCCTTAAATTTAAATAACACAAATAATTTTTTATTAAGCATCTCCCTTTTCTAATACTTTTAAAAAATGGTTGCAAAGAAACAACCTTGTGCTTTGAAATTAACAGAGTTTATTTCTAATCTTGGACTACATGTGTTCCACTTATTGTTAAAAGAGATGGAGCGCCCCTTAAATTTAAATAACACAAATAATTTTTTAAAAATCTATTAAGCATCTCCCTTTTCTAATACTTTTAAAAAATGGTTGCAAAGAAACAACCTTGTGCTTTGAAATTTGCAGAGTTTATTTCTAATCTTGGACTACATGTGTTCCACTTATTGTTAAAAGAGATGGAGCGCCCCTTAAATTTAAATAACACAAATAATTTTTTAAAAATCTATTAAGCATCTCCCTTTTCTAATACTTTTAAAAAATG